TCTAGTGACTGGCCATGAAAATAGTAAAGGAACTGGAGCATCTCTTCTAGGAGAAAAGGCTGAGAGCTTGGACTGTTCATCCCAGAGAAGAGAAGGTCATGGGGAATCTTATTGATGTCTATAAATACCTGGAAGGAAGCTGCAAAGGGGACAGTGCCAGGCTTTTTTCTGCGGTGCCCACTGAAAGTACCAGAGGCAAAGGGCACAAACTGAAACAAAGGAGTTTCCTTCTGAATATCAAGAAACATTTTTTTTTTACTTTGTAACTGAGCACTGGCACAAATTGCCCCAGAGACTTTATTGAGTCTCCATCCTTGAAGATGCTCAAAAGCCATCTGAACATGGTCCTGGGCAAGGAGCTGTATGTGGACCTGTTTGAGTGGAGGTACTGGACCAGACAACCTCCAAAGGTCTCTTCCCACCTCTACCATTCTTTGATTCTGTGAATCAAATAAACTGTATGAACTACCCCATTTTCTGCAAACTGCTATGTAATCTTAACAGAAGTTGAATCCATTAAGATATACATTACAGCAACTTGTCAACAGGCATTTACTGTCTTGGGCAGTTAGACTTCAAGATTATTCTTTAAATACAATTTATTTTCTAAAACATTACTTTTTGGCACATTATTTGGTATTTTTATATCATAGCTCACCTTTCATTCTCCTTTTTATTTGATAAGACCACCTTGTATCTTTGTACTTACCATTTTTATTATCTGGGATTCAAAGTGGGGCTTCACTTAGCCTGCTTATGTCCACATACAATCCACACCTGTATCTCATAGTCCTATGCTAACATGAGGTAAAAAATGCCTTAAAAGTGCCTGTTTCTCTCTTTTCATTTTAAGAAAATATATTTAATGAGATCAGATGTAAACATCTGAATGTGGGCAGACTTATTTACTCATCATTATTAGTTTTGCTACTACTATCTTTATCATGGTTTTACACATTTTTGTTTTGTTTTTGTCTCCATGTTATTTAAGGTTTTGTTCCTGTTACAAGACAAAATCAAGTTATTGGCAACTATGAAAATAAACACGGAGCTGTTTCAGAACACAGAAGACAAAATGTAGCATCTAAAAGATGGGAGCCTACTCATCGTGCACAGGTTAATATAAAATACTACAAAAAATAAAAAGCTTATTTATCTTCAAAATGGAAAGAGCTTTAGAAATATCAAAGATTTGTTCAGTGTCATGCAATTTTGAATCAGTATGTTTGCTGTCACTGCTAACGACAAGAATAAAACCAACCAGAATACCTCACTGAATTAGTATACACTAATACTTTGGCACTTCAAAACATTTGGTAATATGAAATAATAAATAAAACATGTTCAGAAGGTAGTGGTTACCTTAAATTATACTTAAAATATTCTTATAATATTTTTTATAGAATTTGTTATGTACTGTCCAGCCGACTCCTGCTCCATCCACATTTGATCCAGTACAAAAGATGAAAAACATCTATAAATCTGAGGAAGGTATAGTAACACAACTCACTTCAATTCTTGGTTGTACATTAAGTAGAATGACCTAATACATCCACTGTGTAACATGGCTTGTGCCTTTTGACATCAGTGATTCTAAGCAGAAAGGGGTAGTTATCTATCTAGACCTAATTTTTTTTTCCTGGAAATGCAATATTGCATCCTGGAAATGCAACCCTATCATGGTATGGATGGTTTTATAAATGCATTACAACACGTATTTAATTTTCATTCCATGCCTGTTTGTAGCTGTACATGTCATACATAACTGTATGATAGGGACAGGTATTGCTTGCTACCATTACATATTTCCAAACTCATTAGGACTTGCTTTGGTGCCAATTATAAGATGAATTAGTGTTCTTAATTATTTTATTTTCTAATGTATCAAGTTTCTTGATTTTGCCAATTGATCTTTCAATGTCGGTTTTATGTGTTTCACAGACATATAGTCATGAAAACAAGCAGTTTATTTAAATGTAATGAGCTCTTCTCATTTGAAGATGCCCTGTAATCTCTTCAGTTTCAGAAAGCACTATTCAGTTTCTAATGGCAGAAAAACTAGCAAATACACACATTGCAGAGGGTGAAATCCTGGCAGCTATGGACAGTGTGCAGCCAGACAGACAGCCCTCACTGCTTAACAGAGCTCCGTGTCCAGGCATGAGTGCACTCTCAGTAGAAGAACAGAGGATTTTCCAGTCTCTTCATTATCTCAATCAGAGGCTACAAAGTAAGTTGGATAATAAATAAGATGATAAATCAAATGATTAAATAACTTTATATTTTGTTGCCATAGATTTATTTGGGTTAAAACTAGGAATCCCGTGATAGAAATTATTATTATTATTAGTGTTATTATTATTATTATTATTTACTGAATTTAGCAAACAGTAGATCAAAATCGTGAAACCGCTCTTGAAGTCAGTGAGATTAATTTAAAATAACGGTGACCTTTTCTTGGTCAAAAGTATGATTCAAAATATGACTGGAGGACATCTTCAGCCCAACTGTAGATGTTGTTTGCAACAGATGTTTGTCAAAAATGTTCTTTCAAGATGCATCAGGTGCATCAGTCTCACTTGGGAGCCTGTTTTTATCCATCTTGATTTTTTTGCAATTATTTTTGCAAATAATTGCCTCTTATATGATATATCATATATTTTTTGCAAATATATCCCTTTATAATGAAAGGCTTTTCATTTTCTTCTAGTATTTTAGAATGTTCCTCTTCTCCATGAATTCTTAAAGGTCACAAATACTGAGTTATGACATCACTGCAGATAAATCTGACTGTTTGAGTGAATATCACTTGTGCGACCATTTTAAAAATGTCAAACTTACTTAAGTATTCTCTAACTTGTTCTTTCTCTATGCCAGGATGATTTCTTACCTGCTTTATACTGGTGCTTTTTGTATGAACTCTGCAATCACAGCTTCCATTTTGCTGAAGAATGTGGAAGAAATGTCTATACTTGTTCTCGATAATTTTTTCCCCAGTGATTAATTAGCTAACATTTTCATTAGTCGTCTTACAATAACTAACATAGTTGTAGAACAAACTTACTTCTTGGGTCTGTTCCTTTATCTAATGGTTAGGATTTGCTTTGACCTATGTGGTCATACATGTCTTCCATATAAGCTCTCATTAGTTTGGCATAGTTTTGGTATTTTGTGTGCTCCATCTTGTATTTGAAATCAGTGGGGAACTTGTGACTTAGTCTACGTGATCTCTTCACTGTTTGACTTCTCATATATTTGAAATAACTTCTGCTTGCCATTTGTACTGTTTGTGGAATTGCCAACTCTCTTGAATTTTACATTTTCCTTGGACTTTTTTCATACAAGATTTTACATGTCAATTACTTGAGTTTATAAGAGTTTCTTGAAGTCCACTGATTTCCTGTTACTATTCCACTACTTTTCCTTCTGCACTGCACCATTTCATGATCAGGTTACCCAAGTATACCTCCTTATTGCCTGGAATCAAACTAAACCAGGGCTTATTAAGCTTCTGCACACTATCCATTGATTTTTACATCACATGGTGGATTGCATGACTTCAAGGAAAAAGGCTTCAGTTTCCTATAAACTGCACAGCAGAATAATAGATCTTTGCAACTGTTTAGAAATTTTCTGCAGCTGTAGCTTATAATTCCTGCTCCATCAAACAGTGGTTCCGAATTTCATTATATCATAACTTGTGGTTATTGCTTCCAGACAAATGGAAATGAAGAATTCCATTTTTTACCAGAGAGGTGTTTTAGTATGGTGTGCTCAGGTTAGGAAAGTAGATATGAAAAGAGAAATACACGAATATAGAAACTAAATTGCCGTATAAGAGGGAAATTACAAAGAAATATAGGGAAAGGTAAATTCAGCAAAAGAACTGGGAGACAGAATGCTGAAGTTTGCAAAGTGTGAACAGGAAAACTGTAAGAAAAGTATGCTAGGAATATGAAAGAAACAAAGAGTCATAGGAGTTAACAGATTGCAAATGAAGTAACTGTGAAAATTAATGTAATACATACAGATACATATGTATTTGGGAAACTTAATTAGCTTGCCTAATTATTTAGGGATTAAAATTGGTAATAGGAAGCTGGGAAATTTTACAGGTAGACTTACATGTAAGTAGGTACCTGTAAATCAGTAAGTAAATGGTTGTATGTACTTATGTGTCATAAAAGTACATTGCTTTTTTAAACTGTGACCTTTCTGCACACCTTTTTTTGTCTTTGTTTTCACATGTTAAAAAATTAACTGACTAAAACTGTGTACCTTCATAGTGGTCTTTTTAATAACAGTCACTAACTAGTCTACACCTGGAATATTTGTTGCCAGCTTAGAGTAGTTGGCATTCTTTTCTCTAGCTTTAGATTTCTTTATTGACACTAAATCTTTTGTTCATATAATATCTAGACACAAGTTTTAAAAATAGACATATGGCCTATTTCAGCAGCAGTTAATAGGGGAAATAAAACTAGTGTTATTAAACTACATTTCCACAATCTTCAGAAAGTTCTGTCTTGAATGTTTGACTGTGAATCTTATTTTTATTAAAGTATTTGGTTTACATAATATTTATTATATACTTTCATGCTTTTTTTAGATGTTCAAGAAGCCATTACCAGAAACTCATTTGCTTCACATGTTTTACAGATGAGCACTCCTTAGTAAGTATTTAATTTAAATGTGTTCAGTTTTAGTACCTACAAAGTGAACTTATGGCTTATATTGTAAAAATAGAATTGAAATATTGACATCAATCTGTTCATCTGGCTTGCCATATTTTCACATTTCTAATATGCAAAACAAAGCCCCCAAAAATATGAACTTTATAGTAGTGTAAACAGGCTTTAACAGACTGCCTCATCCTCTGGTTTCATTTTCATTTTGGGATCTGAAGACACTTGCCAAGTGTCTCTAGTGTCTCTAGTGTCTAATACAGAGAGGAAAGGGGTAATTATGCATGGCAATGCATAAAATAATTGTTACTGCAGTGAATTCTTACTTTGACCTGAAGATATACCATTTTCTATAAGTGACGGGTATTACCTTTCTTCAGTAAGTGTTTGTATTTTGTTTCGTATATTCTAGATCTTGTCAGTTTGAAACCAATATAACACCTGGAATGCAAAGAAATGAATAGGCAGATGAGTGTCTGAAGTACAACATTTACATTTCAAATGTTCAGTTTATGACGCAGGAGTTAATATTTATAATCCTGTATTATTGCTCTTCTCCTTTACTATGTATTTATACTGAAGAAAAATTATAGACACATGATCATATACTTAGAATCATATACTTAGAACTGTTTAAGTTGAAAAAGATCTGTAAGATCATCAAGTCCAGCCATGAGCCCAGCACTGCCCAGTCCCTCCCTAAACCATGTCCCTAAGTGCCACATCTACACTACTCCAGGGGTGGTGACTCCACCACTTCCTTGGGCAGCCTGTTCCAATGCTTGACAACATTTTCCATGAAGATAATCTTCCTAATGGCCAATATAAACCTCCCTGACACAATCTGAGGCCATTTCCTCTTGTCCTTGTCACTTGTTAACTGTGAGAAGAGACGGACCCCTGCCTGGCTACAACCTCCTTTCAGGTAGTAGAGAGCAATAAGGTCCCCCCTAACCCTCCTTTACTCCAGGCTAAACAACTGCACTCCCTCAACCACTCTTCATAGGATTTATATTCCAGACCCTTCACCAGCTCCATTGCCCTTCTCTGGACATGCTCCAGCACCTCAATGTCTTTCTTATCATGGGGTGCCCAAAACTGAACAAAGGATTTGAGGTGCAACCTCACCAGTGCTGAGTACAAGGGGACAATAACTTCCCTGGCCACACTGTTGTTGATACAGGCCAGGATGCTGTTGGCCTCCTTGGCCACCTGGGCACACTGCTGACTCATGTTCAGCTGCTGTTGTCCTGCACTCCCAAGGTCCTTTTCATTTGGACAGCTTTCCAGCCACTCTGCCCCCAGATTGTAGCACTGCTTGGGGTTGTTCTGAGCCAGGTGCACCTGGCACTTGGCCCTGTTAGACCTCATACAAATGGTCTTGACCCATCAATCCAGACTGTCCAGATCCCTCTGCAGAGCCTTCCTGCCCTCCAGCATATCAACACTCCCGCCCAACTTGGTGCCAGCTGTAAAGTGACTGAGGGTTCACTTGATCCCCTCATCCAGATATCAATAAAGATATTAAACAGAACCGGCCCCAGTACTGAGCCCTGGGGAACCCCACTTGTGACCGGCCACCAGCTGGATGTAACACCAGTCACCACGACTCTGTGGGTCCAGCCATCCAGATAGTTTTTTACCCAGTGAAGAGTGCATCCATTCACACCATGAGCAGCCAGTTTCTCCAGAAGAATGCTGTGGGAAACTGTGCCAAAGGCTTTACTAAAGTCCAGGTAGACATCCACAGCCTTTCCTCCATCCACTAGATGGGTCATATGGACATAGAAGAAGATTAGATCAGTGGAACAGGACCTGCCTTTCCTAAACCCATGCTGGCTGGGCCTGATCCCCTAGTCCTGTACATGCTGTATGATCGCACTCAAGATGATCGTCACATACTTCATATACTTTACTGGATAAACTGTTACCAAAAATGTTAGAGAAAATATTCTTTATTCATAAGGCTTTTGCAACTTACTGAATTTGAGACTGAAACACCCCAGGAATTATCCCAGCTCATAAATTCAAAATGGTTACCTGGTTTTGAGGTGGAACTGTGAAAAGACCACAGGGTACATCATTACCTCCCTTCTTGTGAACCTCAGTAATAGGTGTGACTTTCTTCTGCCTCCTGTCTTATAAATTTAGTGGTTTATGGCTAAATATCTTTTACATTTTGCATTTTTCAGCAAAGTTACCTTTACTGGATCTAACTGTGTTTTACTAACACATTTTTGAGCTTACTCTCTGGTCCTTTCTTCATAGTCTGTCCTGCATTAAAACAAAACAAAACAAAAACAAACAAACAAAAAAAATCCCAGGAAACAAAACTGTTCCTCTCAGCAATGTGTTTTTCCTTGGCTGGTTGGTCTGTGACAAAGCTTCCTCCCACTAATTCTTCATCTACAAAATTTTTCGTTTCGCAAATAAGATATAAACGCTACATATTACTCAGGCTGTCCAGTCTCTGGAACTGTAAGTTCTCTGATGGACATTTAAGACCTTTCTTTCCCTACAAATATATACTTAAACATTTAAACATTCAGATCTCAGCTACTCATTTAGAATTCTTCTTAGTGATAGGAGTTAACTGTTGAACAAGTAGCCATCTTCAGAAAAAGTACAGATGAATGAGATTTCATCAACTATGATAGGAGAAACACTGGGATTTTAAATTTTTACTTACTGAGAGAACACCCTGCTTCAGCTCTCTTAGTTTCAGAACACTCTAATAAAGTATGGATATTCACTCAGTAATTTCTGTGAGGGACATTGTAATACCAACCTCTAAATCCAGGTGAAGGTACACAATTGTTTATATAATGGAAAACATATCACATGATACCATCAAATGATGTTTCTTGAATGTTGTACATAATCACATTTTGATTTAAATTTGTATCTCATTATTCTCCATTTCATTATAGAGTATTCAGCAATGCATGTTCTCCCTTTTGGTGAGCCCTGCAATGACCTCAGAGCAGTGCCAGAGTGCCTCAGCTAGCAATCCACTGCAAATGTACAGAAGACACTGACATTATCTGGTACAGGATCTTGCAGCTTTATGTGCTTTATATGCAGTGTCTATACTGTTTGACACTACAAAATTAGCAACAAAATAAAGAAGAAAGCAAAACTCAAATAACGAATTTAAATTGACTGGTAAGCATTTTTAGGATAATTGTCTGTTTTATTCTGCACTTTATTGTCAAATTAATTTTAAAAAACCTGCCTGAATTGTTATGCCAGTTCTAGATTAAAGGCCCTTTGTTAGTTAACCAGCATGATACCTAAATCTGTGAAGTTAGTTAAGTGCAAAGAAACGGTGACTTTCTAACTTCCTCTGTTTGCTCTTCTTCTGCTCTTTCAGTACAAAGTAGATAAACATTCACAGAATCATAGAATCACAGAATCATTTAGGTTGGAAAAAACCTCTAAGATCATTGAGTCCAATCTGACACTACCATGTTTACCACTAAACCAAGTCCCCATGTGCCATATCCACACTTTTTTTTAAAAAAAAAGTTCTAGGCTGGTAATTAGCTGCAAGAAGCAATAAAAGCAATTTACTAAATCTCTGGATTTATAACCTCCTCTTAGATGCCTGATTTTCTGCTCATATAAGTATACAGTAAGAATTGGGTAGAGTAGGGTAGGGTTTGTCTGGGGAATTAAGTCCTATACTTCCACCAGAGCTATGGTGGAAGTATGGGATTTCCACCCCACACAGTGTCATTGCTAGTCTTTGAAACAAAGAGTATGGAAACTTAGGAGAGCTTTATTTAAGGAGCTCCATAACAGTGCAACCATGGGAACACGGCCCCCAAGGAATACTGGTATTCTCTAAGTGGAATGCTTCTTCCCAAAAGAAGCTATTAAATGATTATTTGGTAAAAGTATTTTAAAAACTTTATTGTTCCCCATCATACTACCAAGATCATCATGCCATTATCTATAAAAAGTGCTGCCATTGCTTAGGAGGGAACCAACCTGTAAGAAAAAGAGAAGAGGAGAACATGCCATTGTAACAATGGACAGTTTATCAGGGATTAGAGCTACCTGCCGGTATGTTGTGTCAACCAAGACTAAGGTGAGCTACATATGCAAATAATAGTTAGCAGCTGAAATTTTACAAAGAATGTTTAGGGAAAGATTGATTTCTTTTTTGATACAATGTTTTGAAGAATGGAATAATAAATAATAAATAACCTTTCTCCTCTAGTTAGGCATTCCAATATCTTTGGAGGAAAAATCTGACAGGCTTAAAGGGGCTGACTTCAGTCTGGAGCCTCTTAATATAAACTGTATTTAATCATAAAAATTTGAGAAACTTGGTGTCTTTTATTCACTGTTGCCATCTGTACTGACACTGCTGCCAGAAAAGGGAAAGTATGGCTGAAGTCCACATGTCTAAAAATTCTGATGTATGGCAGGACTTACGTTGTCTTAGGTGATCAAATACATGTAGAATTTCCAGCAAAAGACATGAAACAAATAAACAAAGGGCCTTCTGAGTTGGAACTCAACATTGGTTCGCACTGAAATACTGAGCCCTGACATCTCTGTTTGTAAGCAGTACCCTGCGACATTCCAGTATGGTGAGGATTTCATATTTAAATAGCAGAGGAAGGTTTCCCCACAGAGATTAAGAGAGGGGAGAGCAAATAATCCAAATACCAGAGACTGTGGATCAAAAGCCGTCCTGATAGTCAGCAAGCCAGAGCACCAGCTTAACCAGGTTTCTACTCCTGTTAATCGGTTTAGGTGGCAGAAGTAAAGCCCATGAGTCAGCTTCCTCAATTACATGGAGACATTCTTTCAAAAACATGTTGCCTGCATTTACATTTCTAGGAAAAGATTTTCAATTTAGTTTTTTTATTTAGGGTTACAGGCTTCAACTCAAAGATAATAACCTTGTTTCTGAGGGGACTTTGGCTCTTTTGACAATAGTGAAGTATAGGGTTTTGTTTAGGTGACTGAACAGTGTGACTCTTGGGCATCATGAATTTGCACTATGAGAGTGGGCCCAGGGGCAGCAGCTGGATTCTGAGCACTTGTGAAAAGCCAACAAGGTCTTTTGTTCCAATTAGTTGATGCTTATTCTTCTGATTGGTGTTTCCAGGCTTTTCTATGCAACACACAAAATTAAAAAAAAAAAAAATAAAGGCTTAACTTTATTTTTTAAGTATAAAGAAAACTAACTATGGTAAAATCAACAAGCTTGGTTTAGAAGTGAACATACAAAATTTGGGTACCTTCACTCCGCCTACCATTTTAACTGCTTTTTAAAATAAATTAATCCATATTGTTCCTGTGATAAAAATTTAGTATGAAAACCAATTTAACATTATGGTTTCCAGTATGAGCCTAAATTCAAAACCCACAAAGTTTCTTTAAATTTGTACCTATGTACAAACTTGATTGAACACCCGTGGTTTCAGGTGCAAGCACACCTTGGTACTTTTACAGAGAATGACATGGAAATGGTCCCAAAAAATAATCACATGCAAGAAAGCAGTAAGGCTCCCGGGTCAAATAAAGACAAGATTTCAGCACGAGATGGCAGCTCCACAGCTCTTCTGTGGCACTATGTGGTGTGTGATGACACATCATTACAGCTTAACTCAGGAAAAGTTACGATAGTGGTGTACACGCAGCATAGTCTTTTGCCATCAGCTCATACAAGGCAATAGCCTGGGAGAATGTCCCAAATGGGTTGCAAACAGCAGCAGAGCAGAGCCTGATTAGAGTGTGATTGGCAAGCAGCTTCCCGAGTGCAGACATTGCCAGGAGAAGGCCAGGGTTAGAAGAAAGAGGTTGATGTTAACACAACCTTTATGCCCCATCAGGGGTTTGCAGGGCGTGAAAGCGCCTCTGACATGGTCCACCTTCTCCTCCATCGCCTGTGCAGCAGCCTCCAATGCCAGGAAGAATATTATGTCCCTCCACATCTGGGAGGGCACCACAGCCAACAGCCATCATCCACTCCAGCACTTGCAGCTAGGTTCTAGGATGGCAGGAGTCAACAGACCTGAGGCCTGCTGCTGGCATGGGAGGCAGTAGTGACAGGCATAATGGTGCTGTGAATGTGAGGGCTAGGTGCAGCTGCAGACACATGGGGACTATGACAAGTCCTCCATGCTGGCAGGGACGGGCAACAAGACAGGGATAGGCTGAGCTGCAGCCCCAGCCACAGCAGCCTGGGGATTGTGAACAAGGCTCTGGTTCTCCATTCTCTTGTGGAACTTTCTGCCAGCCAGGATCATAAGACAGCAGAGTCCTTGCCTATGCTCATTGGTAAGGTCTTGGTGGTGGCAAGAGCTGCAGTGGTAATGGGAGGGAAGAGGGGGGCTGGCAGAAGCCAGAGACCTTCCTTCTCCAGCCACTGCTCCTGGCCAATTTTCTTTCCTGGGGAAAAAGCATTTTCTGTAGCTACAAAATTCACAGACTAACAGAACTGTAGCCTTGTGAAGGGCTGAAGGCCTTTGCAGAGCCACTACTGACACCTGTAACTGATGCTTCAAGAATTTTAAACGCTACGTTTTGCAGCCAAAACAGGCACAATAAACCTTTATGACATTGTTTAGGGGCAGCTAAAGTGTGTGTAGAATTGCAGCAGTGAATACTGCTGTGTTGTACAACCACAGGCTGTTAGGACTGAGGGTGCTTCAAAGCATTTGAGACTAAAGTGCACCCTCAAAATATTCATTTGCCTGTATTAGGCCAGTATATAGTACACAGGTCTTGAGTTGTGTGGCAGCAGCTGTGGTAAAGCGCTGCTGCTGGGAGGAGAACATGACTGATATTGTCAAATTCCGCAGACAAAATGGGAATGACAATGCACATTACAAAAGAAACTAAAGATGACTCCACAATGTTTTTGGAATTGTATTTCAAATCATAGCTGCAGGATTCCTTCAATATTGAATATAAATCCCAAGCCAGCAACAATGGTGGCCATGATCCAGACAACAGAAGTTACTGTGGGTGACACAAATCTACATATAAAGTCTCTATTATTGTATATATTAATTTTGTTCTTGTTTGGAGAAGGAAGCAATTGTTCAACATTTTTATTTAATCTGTGTCCAATAGTTTGTGCTCTTTCAGAGAAAAAGAAACAAAGAAGAAAATAAAAACAGAAAGGAAAAAGAAAAAAATAGAAAAAAAACAAGGAAGGGAAGGGAAGGGAAGGGAAGGGAAGGGAAGGGAAGGGAAGGGAAAAAGGAAAAAAATTACTTCCTTATGCCATTTATCCAATTTTTAGCAATGTCTGTTCATATTTAATCTTCCTACCTGGGCCATGATGAGAATCTAAAAGATCCTGAATTTCTTTAAGGTTGTGCCATCCTGTAGTTAGGTAAAAATGCTGATAGAATGAACCCTTGTCTGTTACTTGATGGTCATTGAAGAGCTGTGACATTAAGCAAACCGAATAAATGAAAACATGTATTTCTAAAGAAGGAAGTGCTCCTGAAATAATTCATATTCAGAGCTTTGATCAAAGAAAAGAAATCAGAAAAGTTGAAATATTTCTGTTTGTATATAAAAATGTGACTTTTCACTTCAAGGTAAGGTTTTGAGACTAGCTTAATCCAATTAGTCAAAAGCTATGTGAAATGTTTAGTTTCAGGTCCACTTTTACCAATTTGGTAATTTCTTGCCTCTGGAAATTATTTCCCCTTCTGATTTCTCAGTTTGGCTGTCTAATAAAAAGCAAAATTTGCCCAATCAAGCAGCCTGAATTCTGTTCTCAGCTGTAGGCAAAGGGTTTGGCACTAGGGAACATGGCCTTCAGAGGTCATATGGTCAGTGTGCTGGAGTTATTTTCTCTTGATTATTCGTACTGCAGCACTGATCTCTGTGTTGTCCAGTGAACCCATGCCCATGGTCTGCCTTTGGAGAACAGAGCTATGTGGTGCTGCTTTGCACAGCTGCTGAGGCAGTACCAACACAGATGTTCTCAGTAGCTGAGAGCAGCACAGGGAGGTTTCAGCTAGTGGGGATTTGATGGGAAGGATGAGCATTTACACAGACTTTTCATGATATTGCTCTGAACAGCAAGTAGAAGTAGGGAGACAGAGCACAGGGTACTAAGGGAGAACCTCTTTCCCTTCCTGTAGACTGAGTCCTACCAAAGACAAAAGGTGACTTGGCTGAAAGGTCTGGATCTCTTTTTCTCCGTGGCATGGGGCGGCCCAGTTCTAGTTCCATTTCCATCTGAGGAACCATTTCCGACGGCTTAAGTGGATGGGGGGGGACTCCAGAGCCAGGGGTTTCTTCAGGTCCTGAGCCTGGAGGGGAGAGGTGCTCTCCCCTCCCCACATGGTCCCATGGCAGCCACAGAGACAGCACACAGGGCGCAGAGAGGCAAGAGAGAGTTTATTGTTGGGGGGGTTACATTTATAGGCTTAGGAGGATTCACAGAGTAACCAATTACAGGTTGCAGGAAGGGGTTAACAACCAATAGGAAGGGGTTAAAAGGGGCCAATGAGAACACCTTAGGACATCTTCCCAGGACATTCCTGCATGGGAGACAACAGTCCTTCACAGGGGGTGTTGGGAAGAAGAAAGCATGAGTTAGCAAAGAGACTACAAAAAGCCATTTTGAAACATGTTTAAACCACAGTTTTCTCATATACTGCAGATTTCCTGCCACAGAAAGGTTGTGCATTTAGGTTAAGTATTTAATGAGTTACATTTGGTGGTGCTGATGAGTGAGCTTGGGATCTTCTGTACAGCTTCTGAGCCAGTAATAAATATAGTAGGTCTTTCCCCATTTTGTTGGATTGCTAGAAAGCTGGATGAAAATGTGGAAGCAATTATGTCCTTCAGAGCTCTTGAAATTACTGCACCATCCGCACCCTGTGACTAAGTCCCTCTCTCTGACTGAGATTGTTAGAGGGGATCTTTCTTTCTGAAGCAGAATGTGCTGTGAGGTCTCATGGGATGGCAGAGGCTTCATACACACAGTGAGCCTTTGCAGACAGAACTAAACCTTTCAATTCTATGATCTTATTACACATATGTGTGTTTGTTTTCTAGAGGGATGGAGATATATAGAATATACATAAACATATTCTTAATCTTTAGTAATGAGCACTGCTTCTGACAGTGCTTTTTTCTTTTGTTTCTAGATTCCAAGATGTGGCACACTATAATGCATGCTTCTGTATCTTTGCTACAAAAAATACCCTGCTGTAAATGGGGGGGATTTTTCTTCATTCAAGGAGGGGGTTGTAGACCAAATATGGCCCAAGCCTGTTAGATAGTTCTCTCGTAACTGAAATGATGACAATCCTCTTGTGACTAGGAAACATTCCAGAGCCAGGGTGTAGGGTTACACAATGGTACAGTGTCTTGCCCCTGATTTATAATTTGAGAAGCAGATTGCGTTCAGACAGAATGTGAGTTGAACAATGAGGTTTCTAGTCCTGATCTCATTAACAGAGATTTATACCAAGAGGCTATTGTATCTTGTTCCTTTGGTTTGCCATGCCAGCAAACATTCATAAAGTTATTTAAAAAAGAAAGCTTCTGTCACACACTTAGGTCAGAAAGTTCTCAGGAAAATAGCTAGTCAAATACAGAGCAGTCTCAATCTGCACTTAACTAATGCTTATGTTTCTGGCCTTAGTAAGTCTCAGAATGATTAGTGGATCAAACATCACATTCAAGCTTATTACATGTAAAGGTTTATGGGGACATGGCTTAAAATGCCTTTTCACATATTTATGTTTGTTCATGGTTGAGTCACTCTAAGATGCTTACTATTTGCAAATCATACATAATCACCAAAAGAATGTTCTTCCAGTACAGAAGAACCATTAGAGGGTGGAATAACAATAACATCCTGAGAGCTACTTTCCCTCCTATGGCCCTAGATCCTCTGTGCTAAATGAAAGGTTATAAAGACATGGCCTGGAACCTGCTCTTCATCAACAGCCTAGTAGTCATTGCACATCCCATTAATCAATATTTCAATAATCCTGCCAGGCAATTTGGACTGACCACCAGTAAAAAAAAATGGAGGTTCTTTTCCAGACTCACCACTCACAGTGCTAGAAAATAGACTGGCCCGTCCATGTGTATTGACAACATAGCTCTGAAGCCTGCGGACCAATTCTGCTTCTGCAGGAGGAGGCTGTCTCGGAGTGTCATAGCAAGAGACGAAGTCACCCAGAGCGCAGCAAAATCTGGCACGACTCTTAGGAGATTAAAGGACAGCGTATCTGGAATACAGGAGGCGTCTGGCTTCAAAGTGTCACACAGCTGTCATCACTACTTTCTCATACTCCTGTGAAACATGGACAGCTTGTCATTATCAAGGCATGTGACTTCCCAATTTCACCTGCACCGACTACTGTGTTGTTGCTGGTATAAATAAGCACACAGTGCAATTAGCCTGTTATTCACAGTCCCATCAAATGTTGAGTGCTGTAGTAATACTCCTGTGAGCTGTGTTCTCCGAGGCAGCTGATGCACATGTCGGATGAGAGGCCACTCAACACCAAATTTGATGGTCAGTTTCCACATATGAAACACCTGAGAATATGTCAGGACACAGGGCAGCAGAAATGTCAGGCAAACCTTCAGATGGCAGCCAGCTCCACATCATGGAAAATTGCTGCTAAATAACATCTCCTGTTGCAAAGAACTTGGATCAGCCAGATTACATATAGAAAGAGGGAGAGCAATGCTGTGCAGTGCAGGGGCATGGAGGAAAGTGGGTGTTGTAAAGATTGACAGTAACATCTTTGGTAGGTCCAAACTGTGCTGTGACAATGGAACACATTTCTCCCTAGAAAAGACAAAACAACTGAGTCTTTGTGTGTTGAGTGAACAGCCACAATCATCCTTAAATCCTGTGGCGAAACTGTACCTAGACCTTCTATTTGGTCTCCTCTGCCTGAACTCCTAGTAGAGTTTAAAAGAAATGATACAACACACTCTCAACTCCTGGCCTCAGTGTTACAAAAGAGTTGAATTGAATTTTTTACCTTACTTTTAAAACACATCTTGAAATGGATTCAGGTTATCTTAGCTTCGTATCATGTACCTTTGCTGTCTGGTGAGCCTGGGAAAATTGGAACATGTTACTCATGTTTTCTGTACCCTTCATTGTTTTGCAAGCTTTTTCCAGAGGAGTTCAGATTGTACTGTAATAGCAGCTTGTCTATCTTGCTAATGACTTGTTACTGAATGCCAGACGGTCCAAATATGGAATAATTAGGATAGGAATGAATGACATTTTCTAGGCAATATGTGAACGATAAACTTTAACTAACTTTGGCAGTCTTCTGCTTAATCCATACCTTTTTTCCTTGGGCTGAACATTTGGTGTTAAGTGACAGAAAAATGCGAACATTTCATTCTTTTTTTCCCCCCAAATGTATTAACTATTCTTTATCTCCCACAACAGCCACACTTTCCGTAAAACTTATTCTCGATCAAGAAAGTTCTTCTTTACAAGTTTCCTATCCAAGTGCAATTGATTTCTAGCATTTTTCACTTCCTTTATGATGAAAAACTGGAAGACACAATCCAGACAGTTTGTTTAACTCCAGTTACTAAAGCCTTGTCAAAGGGCAATGATCTGACAAGGCAATGCTTAAAGCAATGAAACCTATGTTAAATCTTTGCAGCAAAAAACCAGTTTTCAATTCCTTTCCGAGTTTCCCTTCTTGCTATCCTCACCATTCACACATTTCAACTGCAGCACTCACAACAGGATCACCCAGTTTCTTCCCTGAAAACTGCCCTTTCCATGTTTCTGAGGACCTAGACCCAGAGTGGAAAAAGCAGGGCTGAGGCTGTGCAGGAGGAGGTTATGCTAAAGCTTCTAGCCTCAGCTTTTGAATCAAGCTCCATAATGTGTCTTCTTAAATTGTATTTTGTATTGATAAAATCAATATGAAAAGAGCCACTTTATTAGATTCCCACACTTTGATTTTTAAAAAGGTATATTTGGCAGAAAGGGTCCTACTGGTAAGAGCAAACTGTTATGGCAAACTCCCTGTCTGAGGGACTGCTCCGGGCATTAGACCCCTACACATGTCATGAAATTATTTATCCACTTAGATACATGCACATCATGCTGAATCTTTCCAGAGGTTAATATCCTTCAGAGAACTAAATAGTTATTCCTTGCTTCTAGTCACTGTAACATATATCTCTAAGATATACCAATAGTCATAGCAGTTGTGCTTTCTCATTATTCAATGAATTAGGATAGAGAAAAGGAATATAAAAGACGTCTCCAATCTTACTGAGCTTATGTCCTACTCTAATACATACAGCTGTCTCCTGAGTCTGTCTCCTGTCTTTGCAATGGTCCAGCCACATGTTCCAATCTCAGTGCCATTGAACCCCTATTAAGCCCCTTGCTCACAAGGTCTGATAGCACAT